AATATATGTAGAGGTTCATTTGGGTGATATGCAGTATTATTCTCTGCTGCCTGCAATGTTTTGCATGCAGGCTAGCTTTGGTCTCATCAGAACAGAGCACATGCTAGTTCATGTTGACCCGTGTCCACTACATGGTGTGGGTCTTTTTGAGACAATAAGTAGCAATGTTGCTCAGATGCATAAAAAAAAAAGACTGCAATGTTTTCGCAGCTGATCACAGCAACTCTAGTCAGTCCAATCTGTTCCATTAACTGCGTTTCTGAAGTATCCTAGCTGCAACGGGCACGCTGCTTCTCAAAAGTATACTTCTGTTTTATATTTGCCCCTCGGCGCACTGATTCAACGTCAATCTGAAGCAGGTACAAGTAAAAGATTGTACATTTATCAGGACCAGAACAGTTACTGCAAAAATAAACTATATCAAATTCAGCATTTAAATCATAGATTTAAAGAATCCAGTTTCAAAACTGTTTTGTAATTGCACATTTTAAATGGCATTACTAAAGAGTATTTATAAATTGCATTTATTAATTCATTATTGAATACTGCAATTTGAAAATATATTTTCAACTCATATTTCCAAATGAGGAATTAAAAAACTAAATTTATAGATCTGATTTTAAATATTTTTTCTCATCAAACAATGAAAATTTCCTTTTCCACCCCTACCTTGTATTTGAAATTGTTTTTGAAATTGCATTTTTATTTAAATACATACATGTGTTGTGACTGTGGATCATGTTTTCGAGACTTTAATAACAAAATCTTTTTATATTGGTAATCCACTGTCATAATGAGCATTGAGTTATAAAAAAAAAAAAAAAAAAATATATATATATATATATATATATATATATATATATATATATATATATATATATATATATATATATATATATATATATATATATATATATATATATATATATATATATATATATATATTTAAATATTTGATCAAAAGAAAACAAGGTTAAGTGATGCAATTAAGAGCAGACATGTAAAACATGGGTAGCAATGACAAAATTACCACTTTCCTGGTTTATGGTTTTATTTAAAGCCAACAAGAACACTACTGTTGCGCCATGATGCACTGAGGTCACAGGGAACAGGGTACCTGGCAGAAACTACACCGCAGCACACTGGTAGAGGAAGGGTTCAGGGGTTACACCTCCACCAAAGTAATGGACACACTTTGGCACAAGCCGGTAGTTCCGTCCCTGAGTGTAGCCAGCCAGAATTTGTCCCAGAATTTGTGCAATTTAAATTTTCAATTCTTTTTTTTGCTGTTTCACACAGAAGGCCATTAAAGGAGAAATAAGCAAAAATGTCCCCACTAAGTGCTGTCTGTTGATCAAAACAAGATGTGTAACAACCGATACCTCTCTATACCTCCACTTAGATTTAACTAGTAACTCAGAACTTTCTAAGACTGTTAGAAAGAGAAATTTATTTTTGGAAATCTTTGTCTTTAAGCGAATGTTTCAAACCACTTGATGCGCTCTCTGCCATTTTGCTTGTAGACTAAACTGCTCTGGGTGTGTTTTATAAACATGGAGGACCTAACCTATGTTCACACGGACATACTTGCACACTCGGCTTTAAACAAGAATCTTAACAGGAACACAAAGAGATTTTTTGTGACGTTGCAACAAATTGCACCTGAAAAGTTATCAGTAGTTCCTATCTATTATGATAAATTACTGCTTATTGCTTATTTTTTTGGTCTGAATTCTACACATTTAAGAATTTTATACAGTATAAGATTTTTGGCTATCCCATGTAATATCGATCTTTCAGTTCCTAGAATCGATAAAAAAAAAAAAAAAAATGTTTTATCCAAAAAAATGAGGGCAAATGGGCTACCTCTGAACCGCCGCTCTGACGGATAGCGATGTGGAGCCCTGTTCCTGTGCAGCGCAGCGCCATTTCCATAGTGAAGTCAGTCACAGTGGAAGACGACTGACTAGAACCCAAAACACCATGGATACCAAAAATAGTAAATGATCAATATCTTCTGACGAACATATACTGTACAGCACTCGCTTTTTTTAAATTATTTATTTATTATTTTGACAGCAGGGAAAAATATCACAATGTAAAGTGATATTGCAATATTGTGATAATATCGTATCGTGACCCAGGTATTGTGACACGTATTGTATCCCAACACCATGCCAATATTCACACCTAGTGAGGACAGGCAATAACATTGTTTTGGAATATGCATTTCAGGATTTCAATAGACAGAGACAGATAGTTGTGAACTGCAGTTCTGAGTCGACTCTACATCTACATAATATTTACCTACAGTATTTGTGTTAAAAATCCTAGTTGTCGAGCCTCTGCTCTGACAGATGAAGCGAAAGCACCGGAGGGAGGCATAAGAGATGAAACAGCCAGGAGATCATGGTCGAAGGCTGCAGGTGTGTTTGTGTGTTGATTCCTACAAAGGAAAGACAGAAAATAAAAAAAAGCTTTTCTATGCTTTGACCGGAGTGAACCTTTCACCACTGGGGTTTCTTGCAAGTATTTTTGGATTAAATCTGCCAGTGTTAGAGCACATGTGCTGTGTCAAATTAAATAAAAAGGCACTCAATGAACCCAGGCATTGTGTGATCTCCTAATTGTTAATTTCAAAACCATATTAAACCACAGTATATTTACCATTTACTCCTAAGTATTCTAGTATATATATATATATATATATATATATATATATATATATATATATATATATATATATATATATATATATATATATATATATACACACACGTCATTCCTCTTTATCTAAAAAAACAACATTGTTAATCTTGTACCTGTGCTTTTAAAGTGTGTTGGACAAATCAGACTTAGTGTCTTGGGATTAGAGATGTATAATTTTCTTTGGGTCAGTATGTTGACTACTGTATTACTGAGGATTTACTTAAATTTGAATAATCTGTCATGACAAAAAAAAATGTGTCAACCATTGCTTTATTCATCCTGTTTGTTTTATTCTTCAGGTAATTTACATTTAGAAAAAAATAGAAGAAAACAAATTCAGTTTATTTTTTAGTTTATTTATATAGCGCCAATTCACAACACATGTAAGGCACTTTACAGTTCACCAGATCATAGAGTCAAATTGATTCAAAGTTTCCTATCTAAGGAAAACCAGTTGATTGCATCAAGTCATTGACACGAAGGCAATCCCTCACATGCTTTTAGCAACAGTGGAGAGGAAAAACTCCCTTTTAACAGGCAGAAACCTCCAGCAGAACCAGGCTCAGTGTGAGCGGCCATCTGCCGAGGCCGACTGGGGTTCAAGGAGACAGAAGCAGAGATACAAAAAGCAGCTGTAAAAGGCGGCCCCGTCCAGGAAACACACAGCCAGGCAGACGAGCTCCGAGTCAGCTCCCATGTCAGAGGATCAAGAGAGCACATCCAGCCAGTCACAGTCAGAGAAACAGGACTACACTGGAAAAACAGGCTGATCTCCAACAGCTATAAATAAAGGTGTTGATGGCAGCAGCACAGCTACTATTTCTCTCCAGGATGAAGTCACAGCCAAACAGGAACAGATGAGGCGAAGCTACAATGAGAAAAAGCAGAGAGAGCAGAACGTTATAGGTTTAACTAACAGATTCTGCAGAGTTGGATAATAGAGATAGAATCAAGCAGAATGATGAAATGGGGGTCCCTATGTCCTCCAGAAGTCTAAGCCTATAGCAGCATAACTATAGAGATAGCTCAGGATAACCTGAGCCACCCTAACTATAAGCTTTATCAAAAAAGGAAAGTTTTAAGCCTAGCCTTAAAAGTAGACAGGGTGTCTGCCTCACAGACTAAAACTGGTAGTTGGTTCCACAGGAGAGGAGCCTGATAACTAAAACCTGCCTCCTATTCTGCTTTTAGAAACTCTAGGAACCACTGCTAAACCTGCAGATTGAGAGCGAAGTGCTCTGTTAGGAACATACGGAACAATCAGATCTCTGATATAAGACGGAGCTCGGCCATTTAAGGCTTTATATGTGAGAAGGAGCATTTTAAATTATTTTCTTGATTTAACAGGAAGCCAATGAAGAGAAGCTAAGATGGGAGAGATACAGTATGATCTCTCTTTTTAATTTTCATCAGAACTCTGGCTGCAGCTTTTTGGATCAGATGAAGTCATTTAACTAGAGTTTGTGGACTTCCTGATAGTAAAGAATTACAATAGTCCAGCCTTGAAGTAAAAAATGCATGGCCTAGTTTCTCTGCATAAATCCTGGACAGGATATTTCTAATTTTTGCAATATTCCGCAGATGAAAGAAGAACATTCTAGAAATAACAGGTCCTGATCAAAAATAACACCAAGTTTTTTTTTTTTTACTTTATCATCTGAAATCAATTTAATCCCAACCAAATGAAGTGAGAAATGTGTTCTAATATTTTATTTTTTCCATCACTCGAATGAGATCATTCACTGTAATTATTTACTACGTGGAAAAACTGCAGACCCTGTAGCTGCTATCAATGCTGATAGAAAAGGATTTTTTTTCCCACAGAAAATCTCACACCGAGCAAAAATTGTTTGAAAAGACATTGAAACACAACATGATTTACATCAAATCGACGTCTACATTTGGTTGAAAAGTGTTTGTTCTTTTTTAAGTCTTACAGACAAAAACCTGTATAATTTTTTTTTTTAATCAAACCTCCACAATTTCTGCAGAACCCATATTCTTGTATGCTTGTGAAAAAGAGAAGCGATATTAAGTATAATAAGACTGCATTGGGGCCTTGGCGAGGTGGGGCACCTCCACAGAAAGCAACGTAAACTGAGCCTGCGCAAAAATAATGAGATGCTAATAAGATGGTAATCTCCCCATCGTATTCTTCCTTAGTGGTTAGGGGAATCTGAAGAGTTTTTCACTACTGGTTAGAGATCCAGGCATGTCCTGAAGTCAAAGTTCAATATACAGAAAAAGGAAAACTCCAAACATATGTGTATTATAGATCTCTGTTCTTGCAGGATCCCAAAGGAAACGGTCTACAGTAGACGGCCCTTCTGAGGAGAGAAAGGATGACCAGTCCCTCACCTTTAATGACCCACTGTGGCCCATGCAGTGGGAATTGGTGGGTGTGGTTCATCTCTGTGTCTGTCTGCTGTTGTTTTTGCCCTATCTGGAAGTCTCCTCTCTCTTCTTGTCTGCGCGTTGAAGGATGTGCCTGGTAAAGGCATAAGTCAGACGAGCTTTCATGTGTGACCGGAGAAGTAGACAGAAGATATAGAAATAAGGAGATTGTGATGGAGGACAGAGAGTTTGTGAAGGGGGTTTTCCATGTACTGAGACAGATGGGTAAGATTGATGAGGCTTGGAGAAACACAGACACACAACCGGGCAGAAGCAGGACAGGCATATGCCTTCAACTGCCTTCTTCACCCTGTTTGGCCAAACTGTGCGTCTGAGGCACTGCAATTATATAGGAAAGTATATTTATACAGAATAGAGGAACTTTATTTTGACTTAAACACTTACAGTACACCCCAAATGTTATACAATTCAATAAATATCTACTTTTGTAGATCTATCTATCTTAACCACTGGTACAATTAAAGATCAGTAGAAGTCATGTGAAAACATGTTCTACAAACTATTGTTACTTTAAAAAGGTTTGTATAATAAAAACAACGGTCTTTCTTTTTGGGCAATACTTTTTTACACATTAGTGTCTTAGTAAAGATAAACATTTCTATCATCAGAGATATTCAGTGTTCAAAAAAAGAAACAAATATCACTCCAAATGTCTTCTGGGCAGTCATCCCTTTTTGTCTTTAACTGGTCTAATATTAGATGATGGTCCCGCTTGTGGTCTGGTGCTCTTTCTAAATACAGCGCTAGTTTGAAACTTAAGTCGCAGCATTTTTTCTTTGCATGCATTTTTTGCTTTAGCATAATTTATGTTGCAGCAGGTTTTTGTATTTTCAGCGTGTTTAAAATTTTGCTTCTCTCTTATCTGTGATTGCAACATTTGTCCTTCGTGTTAAGCAAATTTTTCTATTTTCTATTCTATAGATTTCTAATGCTCCTATAGATATCTTAAGCTCCTATATATATATATATATATATATATATATATATATATATATATATATATATATATATATATATATATATATATATATATATATATATATATATATATATATATATAATGCTTATATGGATATATAATGCTCATATATATATATATCTAATGCTCCTATAGATAGATGATGCTCCTATAGATATATGATGCAAGAAACTAAAGGGAGAAAAGAAGACTCTTTGTATTTAAGGGAATGTTTTTATCTAAGGTAATTCCTGCAGGGCAAAGCTTTTTTCAATTCAGCTTTTGTGTATGTGTCTCACTGTTTAGGTTTATATTGTTTTTTTTCATCCAGAAAGTTAATTTACCTAAAAAATATCTGTAAGAAATCTGTAAAGATATCATTCTTTTCTCTTTGACATGTTGATTAACAGACTTGGTCTAGTCTTGTTCTCAATTAAAACAGGATGATATACATTTAACAGAACAGAAATTCTATATTAGCAGTAAATTACTTATAGATATCTGATATTTACAGCACTAAAGTCATAGATATCATTTAAGTTACACTTTAACTTGAATCGTAGCAGAGATGCAAATGTAAACTCTACTAAAGGTTATGAATGTGGATTTTCATGTGTCTGAGAATCTGATCCATCTTCTGCAATGATTTCCTCTCTATCAGGAGTTTTCTATAAACAAACTGGGCTCCAAATGGACAAATGCCCTGTGTGCTCCTGGTTTATACTCTGCTTTAATGTAGATGTTACGTCATTATCAATAAGTATAGAAGTTAAAAGCCAGTTTAAAGATAGTAAGGAGAAGAAAGTAAAGATATTTGTGCTCAGACTCGACACTTTCGCTCATCAATTACAGCCATTAACAGGGTACTTTTTTATTGTTTTAAACTCACTTTAATAGTGGAAACCATTAAAAAGACACAGGATGATGACCTAAATTAAGTCACACTGAGAATAGAAGAGCAATTACATTTTTTTGGATGAAATGAGCAAAGTTTCAAAACTGTAACAAAATAAAGTCAATTCATATCATTGTATATTGTGGGCATGTATATATGTTTTATATTATATTATCCAATAAACCAGTTCTATCCAAACTCCATCCTTAGGGACTGGTGTCCTTCATGTTTTAGATGTTTCCCTGTTTTTACACACCCACGCTTTCTATTGGTGATTGATTAACAAGCTTTTTCTGAATTGAAATAATCTGAATCCAGTGTGTTAGAGCAGGGAAACATCAAAAACCTGCAGAAAAAGATATAATTGAAGACTAACCTGCAATAAACCGTAGTTATTTATTTATCACCTACATATTTTAAGATTAAAAGCTGCAAAACTGTGTGAAAACTCTAAAATGAATGAGGATATCTAGTTTTTTTTGCAAAAAAAGGTAGGTTTAATAGTTTTTGAAAAAACAAGAAAACATTTGCATAGATCTAAAGAACACAAAAAGCATTTCAGCTGTTTATTTTAAAAGCTAGAAATAGAGTTATCTTTTAAATTTAACTTTTGTGCTTTAAATGGTTTCTGCTGCTTATTAAATAATGTTTTCTGCCTATTTCTATAAAATTCATTAGTTTATTATTTTTCTGTTTACTCTATCAATAATAAATCCCTGGTTATTGCTATAAATACCCTGGGAAAGCGTTTCCCAGCCAATCGACTCCGTAGACGTTTTTGAGTGACGCGCGAGGGCGTAATCTGGCAGAGTGAGGGGGAGGAGAGGCGGGCTCACAGATTCACCCAGGCAACCAGCAGCAGATTGACTGACACCTCAGCTCTCGGGGCAAGTTGGAGGGATGAGAGTCAGGATGGAGGCGGAGGGTGGTGGAGACAGAATTGAGGCGAGATGAAGAGAAATATGAGGCGGAGAGCTCAGAGTTTCAATATGAACATGATTTGTAGAAAAACAGCTCTGATTTTAGAACTCTTATCGACTAGATTATTTTTAAAGCATGCGATATTACAAGAAATGCTACACATAAGTGATTACGTGTCTTTAATTATATGGGTTTATTACATAAACAGGAATATAGGGCATGATTATCAGACACTGAGTAATCAGGAAAAAATCTAAAGCCCTTCCAAAAGGAACCTTTCTCTCTCTGTATCCGACTTATTTCACTCTGTTGTGTTTAATCGACCTTTGGTGCATGGAGATATTGATTGAGGGTCAGTAATCGCCCGAGAGTTGGGAGCCTGCCAGGCCTAAAAAAAGTGCATATGTGTTTTTGCTAAAATCCTTCTTGTTATTCCCATCGAGTGATATCTTCAATAATGTACACGCCAATTTGGCTTAAAACACCTTGACGACAAGTAATGCTTCTTTCTGAAGATCCTTGCAGAATTATGAGGTAAAATATACCGTGACTGACAGGTGCTTCCAAAAAAATAAAAATAAATGAAAAAATTTTTGGTGCAAATTCTAAGCAAACACAACAAAAAAGAAATACAGAGCTTCCAAAGGGTTTGATCCTGATCTGATTCTTTTTATTTTGACTCCATCTAGATGTCTGGAGCACTTCCATTTTGAGTGTTTGCTGCTTTTTTACTGTTTGCATCATTTTCTTTCTGTGACCGCAGCATTTTGTTTGTGGTATCAGCATTTTTTTGTTTGCATCTATTTTGTTTTTTTCCCCTTCCACTCTCAGTGATTGCAGAATTTTTTGTTTGTAGCATTTTTCTGTTGCATGTTTTTTTTTTTTTTTGTTTGTTTGCGTGTTTTTGAGTTTAGATTGCACATATTTTTGCAGCAAGTTTCCTGGTTTGCTATCTGTTTGCATCTGTCGGCCACCATAAAATAACCATTGATAATTAGAATATAAAAAAAAAACACATCTAAAAGAAATTTCAAATGTAAGTCAATAAACAGGAATAAATTAAAATGTCCGAGTAAAAATCAGAAATGTATGATAATGATATACACATTTACGAGTACATGTGTATATCATGTGTATTACAACTGTACTTGTACAAATCCCAAATTAATAAGTACGAATCTACAAACTCTTGAAGCAGTCACACGAATTACCAGGTGTTGGAGGTAAAGCACCTGAAGGTTCTTCATCAATCAGCTTTAAATGAGAAGAAGATAAATACAAAAAAATAACCATCTACTGAACATTATTGTCACTACCCCATCTGTCCTGGGAGCACAATCCGTACCATCAGTTCATTTGCGCATGTGCAACCAGATATATATCCGGGTCAACCTCGATTTTACTTTGTAAAAAAGACCTAAATTACATTTTCCTTCCCTAAAAATAGTAAGCTCACTAAACTACAATGTGTTACAGGTTGATGATGTATTTCCTGAGTAAATAAATGCTTTAAAATCCTTTCTGTTTGATCACTCGTCTCTGCCCGATCTGCACCGGAACGCTACTTCTGGGAGTTAACTTTTTCGGCTTTGAATTTTAAACATAAATCTAGTCTTTTTGAGTTTTATGTTTTCCTTTCGTGTTAACATTATGGTATATAGTGCAAAATCAAAAGAAAAAAAAACAACTGAATTGCAGATAAACTTGGTTTAATCATATTTTATCCAAACTACTGCGAGCATTTCTTACGATGACGTCAGACAAGCTGTTTAACGGAGAAAATGTAAAAAGCATCAAATGGTCTCAGAAAAGCCATAAAATATGTTTTCAAGATGTGTATTAGCATTGTTTAGTGATTTATAGATTAAAATAAGTACTTTTAGTACGATAATTACACTATTTATGGTGACCTGGATGAATATCTGTTTGCTGATGCGCAAATGAGCCGATTGTACAGATCATGCTTCCGGTGTCATAGCCTTAGACAACTTTTATTGTCGCATTTTAAACACTCTGTTTTTACAAAATGAAAATTCCTTTTATACAGCTTTCAGACACTACAGATCAGGTAGTGACAATTATATCTTTACTGAAATGTTGCTTAAAACACATGCACAGTACAACATTAATTTAATGGTTCTGGTTAATGCTGGTTGGTCCACAACCTTCAGGAGCATTACTGCCACCAACTGGTATGAAGTATAAC